ATAGTAAAATTTAAAATGGAATATGGATATGAGAATTAAAAAAAACAAAAAAAAAATTATTACTTGGTCCGTCCGGGATTTGAACCAAGACAAACGGCGAGACGCCAAAAAGTTGCATCGCCTCTAGCATACGCGCCAACATTTAATAAAGCCATACTCGTACATTTTATATGGAGAATAATAATATTTCGTTTAAAATTCTGCATGTAAACATGTTCTCGACGATACGTGTAACTTTCATGAAAATTAACTAAAAAATTCATGTTATATTAACGGCTGGAATGAAAAAAACTATGTCCGCTAAAATGGGTTAAAATCAAATTTGAGTTGACATATTTACACGCGTACATGCATACATACATATGGACATATACAGTGGACTAGCATTAGCTTGGACATAGCATATCTTGTACTTTGATGTGGTTGAATCTTTTTATGGTACTGAAGATTTTCTTACGGGTGAAAAAAATTAAAAATCATCCGTGGATATATGTAAATATATTTTTATAAACGCTTTGAAGTTTAGAAATTTTTAATATTCAAAAATAAATAGAATAATTTTTGTGCAATTACAGTATATTTTGCTTTGCTGCCTTTATGCTTAAGTGCACATTTAAGATACCTACCCTAAAATGCGCATTAGCGGCATTATTTTTAACATTTATAAGGAAACTCCTCCGATATATGCATTCATAATACCTGCACATTGGCGATACCTGCCTTAAAAACTGTGCAACTATTATCAATTATCAAAGAAAGTATTACGTTTACCTGCACTGGCCCTACAATTACCTTATTTTACAAGCTTATATTTAATTTGCGCATCTCGCAGAACCACGAAAATTGTTGTCAATTTATGTAGTTATATAGATAATTAGATACCATTCGGTAAAATCTTCGCTTGCAGTAATTTCTACGTGGTAAGTGCTCCTCCATTATTTGGTTTCATAGGGATTCGGATACCTTCCTCATTGAAGTAGTAAAGAAAATTTGCTTAAGTGCTTTTTCGGTTAAGTGCACAAGTTTTTCGTGCAAAGAAAGATGTGCAGCTAAGCAAAATATACTGTATACAAATGGTGTTCAAGGCACATTGACCCACCTGTACAAAAATCGTGGCGCGTCATGGACAAAAATTTTACAATTTCGGACCGAAAAATGTGCAAACGAGCAAAGTTGCCACGTTACATTTGTGAACTTCCGATAAAACCACATATGTTTGTGAATTTAGGAGTTTTGATTTAAAAAAAAAAAATTATGTATGTTCCTGCAGAAAACGTTCACTTTATTTAATGTTAATTAAAATTACACCCTAAAATACTAGTAAATGACTGAAATATTGTTGTGGAACAGAGAAATAGATTGTTTTGCCAAAAATTACCAAAATTCGAGATAACTAATTTTACTGGATATAGAGAAATAGTTGCCACTTTTCACTTTGCTGGCCGAGATTTCTTAAATTTTAGATTTTAGCATTTTTGTGTCGGACTGAAAAAGTTGCGCTTGATGGTGATGAATTTGCGGGGAGATGTGCTGTGGTTGTTATGAATGAATTTATTTGGCCTTAAGAAATACGCGAATGCGTTTATGAATGAAATAGTTCTTGTTGTACTTGAATATGTGCGTGATTATGTATGTATGCTGAGTTGTACATATGTACCTATGCATGTGCGTAGTATTTGGCAGAAATATGCACATACGTATGTATGTATGTACATACTTATCTATATATGCATGTATGCATGTATGTATTTATGTTATCAATTAATGGAGTATGTATTTACATACATATGCGTGGGAAATGCATTTTCATTTGACTGCAAAACTATTGGGGCATATCGTAGACGAAATAAATACGACTCTGAAGTTAAAGTTGGTCAACCCCAAATAAGAAGAAAGTTATTATATGTAACATACATAGTATGTGCATGTGTAAGAACGTTATCAATAAATGATTTTCGAGGTTTTTAGGTATGTATGTACACATATGTATGTAGGAACGTTATCAATGCATAAATGATTTGGAGTATATGCTTTTTTACATACATATGTAGTACATATGTAAGTACATACATACATCCGTATGCGCATGCATGAGAAATAAAGTCGACTAAACTTACATAGTTGCAGCTTTTTACAGATATTCTATTGAAAATTAAGTCAAAAATCTGTAACTAACTTTAGTGTCGACTTTATTTTGACTATGAATATGCCCCATTAATTACATATATGTAATACGAGTATTGCAGTGGAAAATTATCATGCAACACATTTGCTCAAAATAAATGTTCATAAAACTCAAAAATAACTTTTCAAGAAAACCACTTTGAAGCTAACAAGTGCATTGCATTTGTATGTTTTTTTTTGTCAATGTGTCCATGTGTAAAGTGAATTTGTGAAAAAACTAAGGCAGCTAGAAAACTGCGGTGTATTGCATTGAAAATATCTAGCATAGATACGGTGACCATCCGTCCTGTATTATACGGGACTTTCCTCTTTTTTGACCAATTGTCCTGGTAATTAATTTATTTTATACGGGACGCTAAATGTTCTGTATTTCTTTAATGTCCTGTATATGTCCCGTATTCGGTGTTCGTTAATTCGACGCCTTAACAGCTCACTAAAATGGCATGCCTACGGAGTTGTACCTATATGATGTTAGTATTTGATCGCAATTTTCTCCATTAACAGTTATTATTTTCCAATCTGGATGCCTGTGATTCGAATTGAGGAACACATACAGTGACCAAAATATAATTTAGGACTCTAAATTTTAGCAAGGTTTGCTTATTTTTCTTTTGTTTATAATTTTTTTCTTATGAAAGTAAAGCCCCTTTCCTAACAAAAACCAAATATATCCAAATATCAGACTTTATGCAAAAACTATGAAAATTAATTCTGCAAAGTTTTACCAAAACTTCGCACTTTTTAATCAGAAACTTTAGCAAAAAATTTACCTAAAGTTTTTTAGCTCATTAAAATGAGTATAATAAAGTGCAACGTGCTCATTTGCTTCCCTATAAAAAAAATTTCGAACATACATACTTTGTATGAAAAAAATGCGTAGCACCGTCGACAAAAAAAAATTGCCAAAAATTAACGATTAGTCCCAGCTACTTCAAACTTGTACTTTATTATACTAAAATTCAAAATTTTTTTTTTGTAAAAAATGTTGTGGGGTAAAAATCTCGTAAAACGTATCCTACAAATGTGTGATGCTACTACAAGGGTGCTGTTTCAAGGCTAATACACCTAGGATCGTTTCAAATGGTTTTAAGATCTTTTAGCTTTTGTGGAAAAAATTCGCAAAATTATTTTTGTCCCGTAAGCATAGAAGCTACCATAAGAACCGATAAAAAAGAAAAAGCCGATTTTTCGACCAAAAGCCCTTTTGAAATATCGTCGGCAAATCACCAAATAGTTTGCTAATTGCATGTGTACATAATTTTTTCGAACAATACATAACTAAATAATATAAATTATTTTTTTCTTTTTCTTGTAATAAATCAAAACTATCAATAACATGCATTTTTTACCAATTTGACCTTTTTTTAACTAACATGCATTTTTACTATTTACATAATATAATACTCGTACAAGAAGCGAACTTGAACAGATGCTTTTTAAGTTTTTAGCAACATTAACTACTGAATAAATTATATTTATCAAATGGTCTTGCAGAAATGCAAATCAGCAATTCTAACTAATATAAAAGTACATTTAATATAATTTAACTATATTAATTTATTTAATTTTATAAAAAAAATATACATGAATACGTTTCTGCATTCACCTGCAACCTAGCAACACACAGCCAGACACTTGCAACAAATATAACATTATCATAACAGAAATTTACATTTTTCTCTGTTAACTCTTGTTGAAATGTTAATCGCGCTGTGGTGATATTCCATGGATTTATTTTTCAGCCAAACAATTTTACGTTCCAAAAATTTGCACCTTCTCTATCTATCTAAGTTCTCTGCTTTTGCTATGAGCGGGGTCAAATAATAATAATGCAGCCCTAGTGAATCTTTTGTTTACTATGGCAACCAACTACCGTTACTTCTATCAGCATTGACACTCACTTGATCGATCAAATGACAGTCATTCCCTACAGAGCCAAACTGGCATATAAAATTTTGCATGTGTGTTAGTTTTCGTTGTGAATGCGTTGTAGGGGGTCTTAGTGTATGTTAGGGATGTCAATCCCGGGATCCCGAGATTTCGTCTTTTTTAAGTCCCGAATATCCCGGGATTAGTCGATTTAAATCCCGGGATTGCTGGAAACAATTTTTTTGTTAGCCAATTAAATTTTTATCTCAAATATCCCGCCTCATAGGCAAAACAAGCATTTTTTGCAACATTGGTTGCGCTCAGTGATCGGACTTCTACCACATTGTGATCTGCCACTTTTTTGTGCATCTACCACGAAAAACGAAAAATCCATATGCTGCAACCCTTGCGGAAACATGTACAGTATTGCCAGCTATCAGTGGTTTTTCCAAGATAGCTGAATGAAGGAAAACAAAGTGGCAAAGAATTAAAAAAACACTCATGATGTGCTTATTTATAGTAAAATTGTTTGATTTTACATATTTTGAAGGAAACGGTGGATTCTATTGCATTTGTAATTATAGCAGCGGAGTAAGAGCGTGCTATGAATGATTTCGCAAAGATACGCGGAGCTGTCGGGCATAGCCATGGGCTTGTCTATGTCAGCTTCTGGTTGAATTATTGAACCATAAGTCAGAACTCCTCCTATGCTTGAAGAACTGGTTCTCAATCCAGTTAATGCAATAACAGCTTCTTCCAAGCCTTTGAAGACATGCAATTTGTTAGGACCTTGCAGAATTTTTAATCTTTTGTACAAAGTTTGATCCATAACCTGAGATCTACCACATTTCTTTGAAATCTACCACATTTTTTTCTAGATTCTACCACACAAATTTTTTTGAAGTCCGATCACTGGTTGCGCTTTGCGCGTTTGCAACACCGTTTTAATAAACAGCTGACTTTATATTTGGCAAAAAATTGTATGTAAACGCAACCAAATTTTTAGAGCAGAAGAAAAATATATTAGCCAAAATGACTGACACGCACAGCAGGTCAGGTAAATAATTTAGTGTATTTGATGGAATTCGTTTTTCAATCCGTTTTTTTCATTTACAGCGATTATTCCCCACAAGTCAAAATCAGTAGATGCAAAATTCGTTTGGTCACATTTTCTTGTCGCCCGGGGCAAGAGTGAAGCTGCAAAATGCATTAAGTGCAGATTTTACTAACCAAAGGAGGATCAACAAAAGGTTTGCACACTCACTTAAAAGTTCACAACATAAATATTTCCGAAACACGTAAAATCCCAGCGATTAATTATCGGAGCTTCCGTGCAAGCAGGCAAAGAAGACACAATTATTTGAAAGCAGTTCAGATAAAAGTCTTTCCGCAGTTTTGTCGCGAATGATCGCCGTTGACGGCATACCATTTTCTGCCTTTGTAAAGTCGGCGGATTTGCGAGCAATGATGAGTGCTTGTGGGTTTGATGTGCCAAAATCACGAGACAACATAAGAAGTATAGTGTTGAAATATTACCAAAAAAGCAAAGGCAATAGTATTGCAGAAATTGAGTTATTGAAAAATCAAGGGAACAAATTCTCTCTCGTATTTGACGAATAGACGTCGATATCGAATAGGCATTTCCTCAACGTTAATCTGTTCGCTGAAAACAAATATTGGAGTTTAGGCCTATTGCGCTATAAAACTTCGATGACTGCTGAAGTGTGCGTGGATATATTGGCTAAACATTTAGAGGAAGTAAATCTGAATTTATCAAAGGATGTTGTAGCCATCACGACAGATGGTGCGAGCACGATGGTGAAAGTGGGGAGATTGATAGAGCCGTTCCAGCAATTATGCTTTGCACATGGCGTCCACTTAGCAGTCGTTGATATTTTATATAAAACGGAACCAAAAACATTAAACCATGGTACGTGTTAAATACAAATATTCTTAAAAATTGGTCATTTCAAAATAAATAAATTTTCAGAAAATGATGACGCTGCAGATAGTTAATCAGAACTTGAAAATTTAGAGGAAAATATAATTTTAGTTCTATTATAACGAAAGTAAGAAACATTGTTCGTGCGTTTCGTAAATCGTCTACTAAAAACGAAATTTTGCAATATTATGTTAAACTTGAGCACAAAAAAGAGTTATATTAGACTGTAAGACTAGATGGAATAGTATGTTAGACATGTTAGAAATATTTATTTTGCTTGAAGACAGTATAAAAAAGGCCATCATTGATCTTAAAATGAGTTCCTTGCTTGATCATGAGTATGATATTATTAAAGAAGTTGCTCGTGTTCTACACCCCGTTAAAATTACTATTGAAGCCTTATGCGCTCGCAAGATGGACTTGTTCAAATGTGATGTAGCTTTGAATTTTATGCTTGGAGAAATAAAAAGGAAGAAATCTACATTGAGCAAAAACTTGTGTAATAAACTCGTTGAAAGGATCAAGCAACGGAGAACAATTCTGTCAGATGTTTACTCCTTTTTTGATGAATCCAAATCATCTGTATAATCTTAAATATGACTTTTCTGAAGCTCTTGATTTTACTGCCATTAGAAAGGAGCTCGAGAATATCCTCCTTAATGTAGAAAATGAGCCTTATTACGAAAGCGATATTAATGACACTAAGACGAAGTAGTTGAAGTAGATAAAGCAGTAAGTAAGTAAGATAAATTGCATCAAGTTTTAACGATCAGCTCGTAAATGACCCATAATAGGGGAGCATAAAATTTATCAGTAGTTTTGGTAAAAGAAATTGATATTTTTTCTAATGGTTGCGATAAAGGCTCTTACCTACAGAGAGAATTTAACTTTTTATCCACAATCCAACCAACAAGTGTTTAAGCGGAACGATGCTTCTCATCTGCAGGTTTTATATGCAATAGATTTAGGTCCAGGTTAGATGATAACACCCTTAATGCTATAATTTTTTTAAGATCGCATTTCCATCGAAAGATGGAACAATTTTGCTTCGTTCAAAATGGAATAGGTGACGCACTTATATATTTACTTTTTACTTAAATGTGTTAACTTTTTTATTATGACTTAAATATACTGATATCTTAAATTGATCTCAAACAGTGATTTAAAAATTTTTATATACATAGGCAGTTACTGCTGTACCAAATACTGTCACTTACAAAAATATTTTGCGTCGATTTTTTTTTTACAATATTCAAAATATTTCTCATGCTATTTTTTTGTTAATTTAAAAAAATATATAGCTCATTTTACAACAAAAATCATATAAATCAAAATTTCACACTTTAGAGAAAGTTGGTTAAAGTTCACCAAATTAGCATAAAAAAATAAAACTTTTTAATCATAATTTTTACAAAAAATTCTAAAATGCAGTTTTATAGCCCATTCAATTTAATACAATAAAGTGCAATTTTAAAGTTTCTAAAATCTCCCTTGATTTTTGAATTTTTTTTACTGACGATGTTGGTCACTTTCTTCCTAATAGCGAATTTTTTTGTGGCAAAAAAAATATAAAAAGTCAACGGGATGTTTTAGCAACTTCAAAACTGCACATACATATATAGAATCGTTACTTCTATATGTCTTTATTAACTTAGAAATTAAACAAATATAAGTGGCTTTAATACAGGGAAAATTCTGACTTTATTAGCGTCGCTAGAAAATACGTTGAATGAATGAAGTTGGTTTCAGTTAGTACAAACGAATGTCAAACAGCTCTGTTCGTCTATTGCGGCTTTTGGTGTTGCCACTTACTACTGCGACAAGTGTTAGGGTTGGTCCCTACACCACCCCCTTCCAGACCTAGCACCGGAGAAACGTAAACAGGTTAACTGTGTATGTTGGTGATGTATCGCTGCTAACTCTTCCCTGGGGAAGTAAGCCGGCTTAAGTCTATCAATGGACACCGTCACTTGTCTTGATCCAATCAATATTGTATACGTCTTGGGGTACCTGTTAACTACTAGTAATGTACTTTGGCGTCCCATAACGGCTTATCCAACCGTTTAAAAGCTCTCTTGCCACTGTCTCAGCGGTCATGTCCACTATAGGGATAACCTCTAACCATCGTGAAAAACGGTCGACACAAGTTAAGCAGTATGCGTATCCGCGCGAAGGGGTAAACGGGCCGACGATGTCCACATTAACATGTTCAAAACGCTTCCCGGGGACCGAAAATTGCTGTAGTTCCCCTTTCGTGTGACGCGCTATCTTGCAACGCTGGCATGCTGTGCAACTACGCACCCGTGCTCGTACATCGCTGCTTAACCCTTTCCAAACGAAGCTCTTTGAAATAAGCCTTATTGTTGCCTTCGCACCAGGATGTGCTAAACCATGGACCGCATTGAACACCACCTGTCGCAAAACGTCTGGAACGTATTGACGAAGTGTCCCCGTTGAGTTATCGCAAATGATCTGTACGCTCCTACCCGGAACTTGGCTTTTGACCAGGTGTAACGAAGTGGGCTGACCATTTAACAGGCTTCTCAACTCGTCGCTTCTATTCTGCTCTTCGTGCATCTGCTGCAAGTCTATCGGCGATGGTAGCGAAAACGTTTCGATTCTTGATAACATGTCGGCTACGATGTTCTCAGCTCCGCTGATGTGCCATATATCGGACGAAAACTGGCTAATAAAATTCAATTGGCGAGTTTGCCGTGGGGATAGTTTTTCCCACTTTTGATCGAGAGCATGCGTGAGCGGCTTATGATCTGTAAGTATTGTGAAAATTGTTCCTTCCAAAAAATAACGGAAATGCCGCACAGATTTATATATGGCAAGTAACTCTCGGTCATATGTGCTATACCGTTTCTCAGTTGGTGTAAACTTCTGGGAGTAGAAACCCAACGGCACCCAAACATTGTTCACTCGTTGCTGAAGAACGGCACCTACAGCGATATCCGAAGCGTCGGTCATGAGAGCGATTGTCGCGACCTTCATCGGAAAAGCTAACAATGCAGCCTCCGCCAATTGCCTCTTAAGATTTTCAAAAGCCTCCGTCGCCTCTACTGTCCAGGCAATAACTGTCCTGTCGTGTTTCTTGCAAGGGCCCATGAGTCGCTGAAGTGGCGCTTCGATGGCGGCAGCGTGCGGTAAAAAACGTCTGTAAAAGTTGACGGCCCCTAAAAATCTCCTCAGCTCATGAACTTCCTTCGGTTTCTTCAATGATATGATGCCCCTTACTTTCTGAGGCAGCGGTTTAATGCCTTTGCATGAGACTAGATGTCCCAGAAACTCTACCTCCTCCCGGCCGAGCTGACATTTCTCACTGTTGATAATTAAGCCCTTTTCTCGGTAGCGATCAAAAAGCTGACGGAGATGTGTCGCGTGCTCCTCCGGTGACGTGGAGGCGACGAGGACATCATCGAGGTAGGGGAAGGCGAACGGCAATCCCATTACTGTTTCATCAATGAAACGCTGGAGCGTCTGTGCTGCGTTCCTAAGCCCGAACGTCATATACCTGAACTCGAACAAGCCGAACGGGGTGAGGATGGCGGTTTTCGGAACATCTGCTGGGTGTACAGGGATTTGGTGGTAAGCCTTTTTACAGTCAATTACAGAAAAAATAGTTTTTCCATACAAGTCCCCTCCGAAATCTTGAATATGGCGGACCGGATAATTGTCTGGCAAGGTCTTCGCATTCAACCGCCTATAATCGCCGCAAGGCCGCCACTTTCCATTCGCTTTCTGCACCATATGCAAAGGACTAGCCCATTGGCTCTTCGAGCGTTGCCAAATTCCTCGTTCTAATAAATACTCGAATTCCTCTTTTGCACTTGCGAGCTTCTCGGGGGAGAGTCGGCGCACTTTTTGTACCACAGGGGCCCCTCTCGTCTCAATGAAATGTCGAGCGGCTGTCGAAGTTCTGTCCATCCGGGGTGAATCGTTGGTGAGGTCGGGGTATTGCGCTAATATCTGCTGAAATAAACTTACCCCTCTTAATGAGATGATGCTATAAGGTAGTTTCATGATTTGACAAATCGATCGTACACTCGTTGTTCTATCAATAATCGCCTTACTCTTCATGTCCACCAGAATCTCGAAATGTTTTAAAAAATCAGCACCCAATATAGGGTACCCTACGTCAGCAATTACAAACAACCACGAAAATTGTTTCCGCAAACCTAGGTCCAACACCATACGCTTAGTACCGTAGGTACTATTTTGCGAGTTGTTTGCAGCTACCAGCCTCATAGGCGCCCTCGATCGCTTGTCGGTACAACTTTTGGGTACCACTGATATCTCCGCACCGGTGTCTACAAGAAATTTTAGTGAAGATGCCCTATCTCGGACATAAAGGCGGCTGCAGTTATTATCAGCCTCCGCAGGAGCCGCTTTGAACGGAGGACTGATTAGTTTTCCGAACGTTTCTGACCGAAAGCACATGGCTGCCGGCATCGTGTTGCATTTTCACCAAAAGTGCGGTGATACCAACAAGTGTCGTGTGCTGGTTGAGTTGTCGTCCTGCGCGAACTGGTAGATGACGTTGTACCCGAAACTGCATTGCTGCGGTTCCGTTCCTCCCTGACCTTGCCGTTATTGCTGCCACGTTCGAGGCGATCGAGCCTGCTTATCAAATCCGCAATAGCAGGTGATAAATCCTCGCTGGGTACACCGACGACCTCTATGTTACCATTTGTCGTTGAAATCTCCATGATATTATCGGCTTTCTTAGCCAAAGCTTCGATATCACCCTCGAGTGTTGATAAAATTTGCTGCACTTGCACAGGCAAACGTCGCAGCCACAATGATTTCAAAACGTCTTTATCGACTCGCTGACTTGCTAAGTCTTTCATGTCACGAAGCAAAGTAGTGGGTTTCTTCTCGCCCAATTCGCAGCCTTCAAATAAGCGTTTGAGCCTTTTTTCGTTCGACTCGCCGAATTCAGTAATCAGTCTTTGCTTTAGTGCGTCGTACTTGCCACTAACAGGTGGTGATGAAATTATGTCGGTAGCGTGATTGAGAACTGCTGAATCAATTTCAGCTACAATTGTGTAGTACTTCGTCTCATCGGCCGTAATACCTGCTCGCACAAACTGCGCCTCCACCTGTGCGAACCACAAGCGTGGATCAGGCTTCCAGAACGGTGGCGGTTTGATGGAGAGCCGTGCCATGTGGAAAGAAGTGATAGCGTCTTCGTACCTATCTTCGCCTACGTTCACCATATTATGTTCTTAGCGGGGTCACCAGTTATAGAATCGTTACTTCTATATGTCTTTAATAACTTAGAAATTAAACAAATATAAGTTGCTTTAATACACGGAAAATTCTGACTTTATTAGCGTCGCTAGAAAATACGTTGAATGAATGAAGTTGGTTTCAGTTAGTACAAACGAATGTCAAACAGCTCTGTTCGTCTATTGCGGCTTTTGGTGTTGCCACTTACTACTGCGACAATTGTTAGGGTTGGTCCCTACACATATATATTTTTTTAAATTAACAAAAAAAAATACCATGAAAAATATTCTGAATATTGCAAAAAAAAATCTATACAAAATATTTCTGTGAGTGGCCGTACATGCATTTGTACTTGTAGTACAAAAATTATGTTATAAACTAATGTGGATATGTACATACATACATATATGTTTGTCAAAGTTTATGTTTGGTTGTTGTTGATTGAAAAGACTGATTTATAGCCTTAATAAATATGTAAATGAATTACTATAAATTGTACTTTTTTTGTTATATCAATCTGATTTAAAATACTATAATAGGATGATCACAGATGTGTTGGCAAAAGGAAAATTAAGAAAATAAAACTGCCTGAATTTCGGGACAATCCCGGGATCCCGGGACTGTATTTTCGAATCCCGAAAATCCCGGGATCGACAAAACCGGAAAATTGACATCCCTAGTGTATGTACAGATCACAGTCGACATTAATATAATATATAACGACTGTGTAAATATGAACTTATAGTGTATTATAATAAAGTTGAAAAATCTTGACAAAAATTGGCAAAGCGGGGTATTGTATCATTCCCCCAACCCAAGTGTTGCGGCACTTATTGATCACTTAAATGAAATTTTAATTAACAAATATGAAATAAGTATTCATAACATAGTAGT